TTTTTATACTCTATATAAATTTTAAAATCTTATACTTTTATGCTTTATAAATTTTTAACACTCTCTTGAATATACCCACATTTATTGCGTTACCTTCCGATGATTTGCGAGAACTGAGGCTATATACATGTGATAACGTATCGTCAACATTGTGTTAAAACTACTTTTAGTGTGTATAATACTCTTTAAGTACATTTATTAGATATGGTCTCTTAGTTGGTGGCTTTGCCAAGTTCAGTTAGTAGATTATTGTTTTGTATTCGAAGTCAAGCTTTACTCGTCAGAATCCCACTTGGGAATATTATTTAATAATTCTTGCAACTCGTTTTTGAAGCTTATCTTCAAGCATGGGCCATCAGCTTTTGCGGTAGAACTGACCATGTTACCGGAAGACAACCATACATGGACTTTGGTCATATTTATCAAGAAATCGACCAAATTATACTTAATAAATGTTACGAGTATATTAAAATTTAATTATCTTCTATATTAGAGAATAAATAGACTCTCAATAATCGTATGAATCCAGAAAGTTAAATTTTTCTTTGAAGTTCTTCGTAAAATTGAGATTTTCTCGTTTGATTTGTTTTTCAAAATAACATCGACCGTCAAAACAGATAAAAAACCGACAATAATATAAGATAAAACTCATATAAATAATTCCTGTTTCCAGCGAGTTTTACTTGCTTCCGATGATTTAGTGTCCTGATAAAACAGATCAAAATCAGAATCAGAGACTCCATTCCCACGGCGTTCGCGGCAACAAATTATCGAATGCTCCGCGATCCGAGAAATACGGAGATTTGTGATCTGACTACAAAATCTACACGTGCACGCGGCCCCTCTGAATCACTAGACACTTTCACCGTGCTACCACGATCGATATCCAAAATGTCGCAGCTGGTAGAACCTCTCTAGCACACTTGAAACTCGTTCTCCAATTTCAATCCAATTATTAATATTTCAAGAATCAATCACTGCCAGTGCGAATCATGAAGAAATAAAGCATGTCATGTGGATTTCCATTGTGGAAAAGTAAAATTCCAAAATAACTAATATTCTTCCTGCAGCACAAGATCTCCAACACAATTTCCAACAACAAAACCATCAAATCGCACGAATCTAATCGAAGAAACGCCAAAAATTTTCTTCAAAACTTTGTGTCACCCCATCCCACTAAACATCCTCGCCACCCAAGCCCAAGAAATCCGAAGCATCTTCCCATACCCACCGACATATGAATGAGTCCCAAAACTGACCCTGTACGTCGGTAGAATCCCCCGGAAAGCGTTCCGTTCTCCAACGTCGGTCCATGTCCGGGGACACCGCGTTGCCTGCTTACCAAGCATGCATACGTATCTGCTAAGTCGACATAATACCGCGGGCCGCATCATTATGTACTCCATAAGTCTCCGGGCCCTATCGTCTCTCCTCGTCTCGCTGTAACCGCACTGCACGAGTGGAAAATGGAGAAAAAAGAAAGGCAGAAAAAAAGCTTCGAGGCAAAGCCAGACGTATACACATACACAGTGAAGGGAAGAGTGGTTAGAGGGTTGAGGAGGGGGGAGTAGGAATATGGGGCCTACTCGTTGTACCCGGATACACTGACTACGGGCCCTACACTACCCCCACCCCGTGCTCCAAGACCCCTAGGACGCCTGGTGGGGGGCAGATGCTGGCTACAGAGTTCGCCGTGGCGTTCACCAGAGCAAAGAAAGAGAAAAAGAAGGTGGAGGAGGGAGAGATAGATAGGGAAGGAGGAAGGGGATCTCTTTCTCTCTCTCGCTCTCTTAGTTTTTCGCTCAGGGTCAGAGGCGTACATCAGCCGCGCGAGTATAGTAGTATGCTACGCTGCTGGATAATGGACTGACGATCAGGCCCACGGATTTCTAGGCTTCACCAATGAGAGCATAATTTTCTATCCTGCGATTAATGCCGGAAAGTTTGAGCGAGGGAATAACACGGCTGACTACGGGTAACGAGACGTCGATGATGGATTTACGACGCCTCCTCTTCTGTCCCTTCTGTCTCATGAAATTTTTTGTTATTCTACTTTTTGTTTGGTTCTTATTGCTTTGAGTTTTATTTATTTTTTCATTTAATTTGTTGAACCCTTCAGCTTTATTTTGGGTTTTTTTTTGTAGAGGGTTGATTTTTTGGAAAAGCTTTATTCTTGTTTCTGATCGGTTTTGTTATTATTAGTTACTCTATATTCTGAAAGGTTTTTGATTTTGATTTATAAAGAAGAAATGTTTGCTTTTGAGGAAAATTGAGTCATATAACGTGTCCTCTTATTCTTCCTCTTTTGTTGCTATTGACACTTTTCTGATTTTTGTTCTGGACATTGTTACGAAAGGAAATTATGCTTTCAAGGAAGATTGAGTCGTGACGAATAAGAGTGGATGGAGTTGGAGAGGCGGGCTGGTCGATAACGGGTGATGACTTCCTTTAGAGTCCTCGCGTTGCATATTGATTGCTCTATTAGTGAGATTTCTTCCTTATTTTTCTCAATCTTCTTTTCCTTTCATTAGATGATCTTTATCATGCTTTACAGTGATTACGAACTAAAAATTTTCTTTCGTACGTAGTTACGTTAACACAAAATATCTTCTCCAAAAGAAAATCCAAAAAAATTGTTTCACTTAAAAAAATATTCACAGTAGTTTAATAATCTATTGTGATGAAATGGAAAACAATAAAAAGAAAAATTGAGTGATCTTGAGTGTCTAAAATATTTAAATACGTGAATCAAACATTTTTGCAATCTAAGTTCAGAAACTTTTGTTACACACTGTATTACTCAAAAACCAAATGAAACAATGAGCTACAGGTGCCACGTGGCATTGGGGATCGGCATCGATCGACACAGAAGACCATCCTGATTGCGTAAAAAGTCACGCGAAAACTTTTCCGCCGTTCGACCTTCGTTCAACTTCAAACGAGGAACGATACACTCGAGGTCCATCTTGTATACTGTCCAATAATCGCGTATTCTGCTAACGTTGCGAATAAATGTCGCGTCGTCGATACGTCGCAGTGTAATCACTTCCGGATTACCAAACGCGACGCGAGGCCTTACAAAATTGGCCGTCGCCTATCCAACTTCCCCAAATCTGGATCGTCGTGTAACAGTAAGCTCGAATAGAGAGAGGACTCTCTCATGCAATATTCACGCCCGCGTTCTGCTCTCTATAACGACCAACACTACGAGGAGGACATTGTTGCGTTCACGTGTTCGAGTTCCATCGATGAATATGGCTTTCCATATGAAATTTTAGTGGAATTAAACACTTCCCTTGTATATTATATTAGGTTGTACCACGTGAAATTGTTATATTTGTAGGTCGAAATAAATAATGATGTATTTTCAAAAATAATTATCTTTATTTAATCAAAATATGCATCATTAGTATTAATTGGTTTATTTCTTTTGACAATTTTCTTGTATTATAATTTATAAAGGAGTTGTGTTGAAGTTTGGTACGTATTCTCGCGGAGATTTCAACGCGTGTCTTGTGCGTAACCAGTTGAATGGAGAATTGATTTAGATTTTATTGTTAGTGAGAGTTGAATAATGTTGGAATATTTTCAATACAAATTTACTCTCAATTATCAATTTTTCATGCTACGAATATTTCATGATCTTTGAAAAATCAAATTTTTGAAATTTCTCGTGGTAACAATAAACGAATGACTATACCAGTAATTAGACATTTTTCTAACTGATCATAAACGCTTGTATCTTTGCAGATCCGACGAGGATGATCCCAACGGGTGTAAATATAGAAGGCTGGAGAACGAGAATGTACAGGACAAAGAGAGATTTGCGAGGTGAGTGTCAGGCTCGACGTAACGTGCATGCTTTTCGTCTTACGATAAATGAGAGGTGTCGGTGAACGGGTTAAACGTCCCCTTTTTTTTTCTTCCCCGGAAAAATGCATCCTCCATGAACGTCTTCTGTAAGATTCTTTGCAAAAAGAGAAGCATTTGCATGCTAGACGGGGGGAGTTCGCTCTTTGAAGACTTGTAACCTGAATGAAAAATCTCGTTACGTATGGAAGGTTTATTTAAGAGTTTCGACACGGTAACTGTAGCTTTCAATGTTATAGAGGCAAATTTTTAAATTAGAAGGAAGAGATTTTGTAAATTGGGACACAGAAATCATACAAATTTCAGAAAATTGATAAAGGAAAGTTTGAGAATAGAAAGAAGGGGCTTTAGAAACCGCAAGTAGGAAATAAAAACAATCCTCCAGATTTCACTCGTATTACAAAATAGAGATCAAAGCATCCGGTTACTATAAGTAATCTATTCACCCAGGTTTAATTACTTCGAACCCCAATTCCGTCATATTTCCCTCACCATGAATCTCCTTGAAGTCCCCAAAACAACTTAAAAGAAATCCAAAGACACCCAAAAAAGAAAATATCCATTCTCCAACCTTTTAACTCTCTCTATCATCCACGAACCCCCCTCTAATCTCATAAAATCGTCAAAAGAAAAAAAAGAAATCCGTATGTAAAATCTTCAAAACGACTTTTGACCACGTTTTCCCGTTTCTCGATGAGTGAAAGAAAGAATGAAAGAGAGAGAGAGAGAGGGAGAGTGTCAGTCTCCTTCCTGATAGCCAGCGCGGAGACGGCATTGTTAATTCGTCTCACGAAATCGTGGGCCAATATGTTCCACCGGTACACCCTGTACATGGCCGGGCAAGTACGAAGATACATACATACCTACATGATACCCGCCAATGTGAGTCGATAGCGGAATGGGAAGCCCTCCAGGCTGCTCCAGCGTGGGAACACGGGCCACTTATACGCGCGCGTCGTTCGCATAAGTCTCGTCCATGGCGAAGACACCGGCCATCTCGATCTCGCGACGCGATAGTCGCCGTTGACACGCCGCGTGGATACGATGGAAATGATACGCGACGAAGAATAGATATTACACGTTTCAACAATTCATGGATCTTTTGATATTGGGTACACTGGGTTGTGTGGTTATAGGTTAGGATATGTTGCATGTACTGTGTCGAGGTACTCTGTTCTCACTACCCTCTCAAAATTAGAAAATTGACGTTGAAAGAGAGAAGAAGATCGAAATTCTACTTCAAACTCTAAGAGAGGTAAAGAAATTATTATGTCTTATTATCATCTTGGATGGCTTTTATAAGTTGAAGAATTCTTTTTGCAAACGAAAAGAGGTGAAAATTGCACCTATAAGGCCAAAGAAAGTAAAGAAGGCGTGATTTTTAATGCTTCCTCAAAATTCCAAAATTTTCTCTAAATCGGAAATATCTAAATTGCACTCCCAACTTTAAGAGTGGTAAAGAAGATATTCTTAGTATCCTCTAGAAATTCCATAATTTTCTATAGAAAAAAAAGCCATAAAATTGAAAATATTCAAATTCTACTTCCAACTCTAACAGAATTAAATAAAACATCATCCCCAAAATCGTCTCAAACTTTCAAAATTTTCTTCAGAAAAAACTGCGAAAAAATGAAAGTATCAAAATTTCATCTCCAACTCCATAAGCATGAAAGAAGACATCAATCTCAGCACCCTCTGAAAATTACATTTTCTTCAAAAAGAAACATCAGTCTCAGTATCCGCTCCAAAATCCAAAAAATTTCTTCAGAATAAATGCAACAAGAAAATATGAAAATTCCACTTCCAGCTCCACGAGAACTAAAGAAGACATTATGACTCTGTCTTACTCATTTTCGATCGAAAGGTATATTCGCCATGGACAGAGACCGGTAACCGAGCATTTGCCGTATTTTACATTCGCCCCGGCCACAGGGGCAGCAAACTAAGGGGGAGTACTGATTGCACGACGGCCACCGTACGTACGCGTTTCATGGAAAATGTTGGCGGCGATGTCGCGAGTACCGGGAGAACCTCACTTTTAACTTAATAACGCAATTACCGCCTGCCGCCGCAAGGCGTGCAACCCTCTTATCCCGTCTCCTCCCCCGCTCTAACCTCCTCCTCCGCCATTTTCTTCCTTTCCTCGCGTTTCTCAGACGTTTTCGGCCGCCGCAATGGCCGCGATAAACCACGAACTCGAGAAACTTGATGGACAGATTCAACTTTTCTTTCCTTTTTTTTCTTTTTGGTGAACAGGTTTTTTTTAGAAAAAGACAAGGCTTGTACAATAATTTCTATGGTGGTTGAACCTCTATAACCCCATTTTTCTTCGTTCATTACAATTTTACATTTTTATTGGAGATGCAAGAGTTAATAATTATTTTAAAGAAATTGATAACGATTTTGAAAAAGAGAACGATTGATAACGAAACTGATAACGATAAATAACGAAATTGATAATGATTTTAAAGAAATTTAATTGATTAAGGAAGAGTGATAACGTGGTAGTATAACAATAAACAAATAAAATGAGATTTTTCAAATATAGATATATGGTACGTAATTTCCAAATCACATGGTGTTGTAAGGGGCTCGAGAGTGTGGAGCAAAGAATAGTTATTTGGGTATTGGATTTTGGTTTTTAGAGTTTTTTGATGAATAATTCTATTTTTAATATCAACAAATTATTCTCTCTTTTTTACGAGAATAATCTCTTTCATTGTAACATTGTCAAACAAAAAATGGCGACGTTCAGAGCGAAAACTGGAACCGTTTAGGGCGCAATTTCACTGGAAGCCATCGTCGCGATACGATCGTTCACTGGCGCGCGGGGATAATAGAGAAATATTGTTTGAACGATAAAAAAGATCAGGATTCGCCGATGGAAATGATTTCCAAGCTGGTTACAGTCATTAGTATCTTACGGTCTTCCATTATCTGTAATGTCAGGCTTGTTCTTACCCGGTATAATGGAATTATAAGACTCGCACAGTTAATGGCGGTCAATGACAAGACGAATAACTCAAACAGAAATATCAAGAAAATCATCAATCTAATGATAAATTTTCGCGACAGTCATTAAAATAAAATTATTCTACATAATCAAAAATTCTTCTTAATTTTGTTTATTTTTTTGTTAAACGAGTTCAAAGAAGTTATGATATAATTATAGTAAAGCTGAAAAGAATTTTTTAAATTCATCAGTGTATGGAATAATATAAATATATGGAATAATAAATTATGTGTATGTATACAAGGGGTTAGAAAAGAGGGTATTGAAACGATCATTGGTCAGCTTATGGTTGCCAGGCAGTAAACTCGAAGCAGGGGAAAATTTATCGTTCGACACTCGCTAGGATTATAACATCTTCGTTCAGAAATGATTTAAACGGCACTCAACGCGTCGCATATTCGACGTGAGATTGCTCGTTCCGACGTTCTATTATTTTATGAGCCGGTTTATGCGCCATTCAGTTTATACGGATCACGGGCAACAGCCGGCGACACTTTTCCGGGCTCATGCGATCCGATCAAATGATTTAACTGCCTTTCTGAACTCATTTTCATATACATCCGACGAATTTCTGATTGAAATTATTTTATAAATTCTTTTAAAAATAAAATTTTGAACATTTAACTTTCGCATTCAATTGTTTAATGGAACTTTTCAACTGTTTTAATTATTTTATTTAAAAATGAAATTTAGGACATTTAATTTTTTAATGGAACTTAAAAATGCAGTTTTTAGGCAATTACACTTGAATCTAATTTTCAGTCTCCAATTTTAGTGATTAAAGAAAAGAATTATATTTTTTATTGGAATATTTTTGTGAGTGCCTAAAAATACATCAATTCTCAATATCTTTACGTCTAACATAACTCACATTTCTTTCATAATATATCAACATTCATACGTGCATTGGTTGATCTTTTTAGATCCAGAAATCATTCCTTCTTCAAGCTATTTAAATTCTAATTTTTTAACAAAACTAAAGGATCCCAAATAAACAAGAAATTAGAATAATTTCTTTCGTGACGCAATAATGCAAATAACAATATAAAAATCGATCGTGAAATAATAAAAACACTTTGAAGAGCTGTAATATAATGAATTCAAAAGTCCAAAAATTAAAAATTCGAAAATGTGATAAAAAGAAACTCGAATCGATCTGGATGGAAAGCGCAGAAACTGGCATCGGTGTTCCATTTGCATGCGGAATATTAAGATTTGGTATAAATCATCGATGGCTCGTTAACATACGTCCGCGAGTGGAATATACATTTGATAACGAATAGGATCGCATTAAACGGTCCTCGATCGATTCATAATTCATTTCATTGTTCCTAACCAGACAGAGACAGACATAGCAGAGTCTATAAGTTCTATCGACACGCTGGCAGAGGGACTGGATCGTTAGACGAATCCATAATTCACGTGCGGACGTTGTCATTTATAGGATTGCCTCGTAATGCCGAGAGTATCGATGATGATCCGAACGATCTCCTTGCGATCTCTTTTTCGTACAGACGTATAGGTAAAGTACATACGTGTGTTCCAAGTGTATATGTGTGTCGAGGAACTCGTTTTTTCCCCCTTAGAACGATTTTATGTGTGCGGTACGTGCATTTCAGTGCCGACTTTGTATCATCGTAATGCAGAGATCGATATACAGGGTGGGTGCACCTTTGGGTGATCTGATATATGGAAAATGAAAGTTGCATGCAGATGAACATCTTTAAATTGCACGTTTTTCTGAGATTTTTAGATTTGTTGGAGATGATTGAATAAAAATGTGTTCAGTGAAAAATTCTGGCTTAGAAGTGGGGATTATTAAGAAGAGAATTTTAAAAGAACAATTTGGTACAATGCTGGTACTTATCAGAGAGCAGAAAATATGCTGTTTCAAATTTGTTGAATTGAAAATAACTCGATTTCCCTAGAAAGATTAAATTTTGAAGTTTCTTTTTATTTCCAATCAAAATCACATTATCCCAAAAATATACAGAATCCAATGTTACAATATCGTCGTTCCAATGGTATCTACATTTAGGAAACTGCAAAAACTGAATTTTTCAGGGGAGAAGAAAACAACTTTAAATCACTTTTACACTAATTTTACATTAACCGACAAAGTGGTTTTTCTCTCTCCAAGAAATATTGAATTTTTACAATTTCACAAAATTATCGTTGAAACGATGATATTAGAAAGATACGAAGATTCATGAAAATAAATTTACAAGAGAATTATAAAAGACGAGTAAAATTGTATCAGACCACCCCGTATAACGTTCGCTGGACCCACGAAGCGAGCGGGTAACTTCGGAACGTCTGACCCCTGACCCAGGAGTTCTCTCTATCCTCCTCTTGGTACCGCGTTCCTCTTCTGGCCCTTTCTCCTCGTGTTCTTCTACCGTCCTGCACGGTATACATACTCTGCTTTATACTTGCGCTTTAAGCGCCCTGGCCTCTTTTAAATAGCGGCCCTGCGCTGCTATTTCTTTGGGACCACGTCGTCGAGGGCAGCCGTTACCGATTCCAACGAAATGGAAGGTCCTGCCCGCCATAGAATATCGAAGGACTCGCGTTCCAATGAAACACACTTGAGGAAAGTCTCTTTCGAAGATGAACAGCAGTGCTTCACTCGAGGAATTTGCGAATCTCTTCAGGATGAAGGAGGAGTAGTATTGAATTTTGGAGATTTTTTTCTTTTTGAGCTGGAATATCAAAGGATTCATGTTCCTACGGAATGCACTCGAGGAAAGTCTCTTTTGAATATGCACAGAAGTGTTCCATCCGAGAAGTTTGTGAATTTTTTTCAAGATGTAGGAGAAATATTGGGTTGGTCAAAAAGTCTTCTCGTTCTTTTGCAATGTAAGGTTTTTATTATAATACGTGAGTAAATAAGCAAGTAACTTCAGGAATGAAAATGAAATCTGACAGTAGACGTTTCAGTGCACAGTTTTTTGCAGTGGAAGAAAATAAGATACGTTTTGGACGCATTGTGCTGTATTATACTATCGTAAGGTTAAAAATGCAGCGCGAATACATATCTCAAAGTGAAATATCGCTGAAGTTGACGCGCGGCCTGATGTCTTCGTGTCGTGAACATTGACCTCTCGTTAAGTTCCGCGTCCAGGACGTCCACCCCACGTCTGAAACGGCGCGACCCCGGTTGAGAAAAATCGTTCTCCAGTTTGTTCCACGTAGAATAGCCACGTAGTGAAAGCATTTCTAACGTGGCGTAATTAGTTCGAAATGTCGTGCAGATAGGAGACTCTTCTATTCGTCATCTTGAATCTTGACTGTATTCTGCTTTTGAAAGAAGAGTAGAAAGCTAATCATGTGAATATGAAAACAAATTTTGGTGATATTTGTAGATAACAGAAAATTGTTTTTACTGGTGATACTAAAAAGCAGTTCCAAGATTCGAATACAAACCTTTTGAAAGTTCGAAGATTTAAACATACGGAAATTCACTAAAGGTACTCTCCAACTTCTTTCTCAAAATCTCCTTCAATAAAAAGGGGAAGAATTCTTCTACCATTACTACCAAATTGTTACAAATTTTCCCAAATTCAATGATCGAGACTCCAAAGATTCCCCAATATTATTCTCTCTTCCTTTTCGAAATCTCTTTCGTTAAAAAAAAAAAAGAAAAAAAATCTACTCTAAATTCAAAGATTCACCAAAATTATTCTCCATTTTCTTCTCAAAATCTCTCTCAATAAACAATGAGAAGAATTCTTTTACTCTTGATACCAACAAAATTGCAGAATAACGGAGGTTTTATTCTTGTCTTCAATTTTGCCCCTTTATTAACCGAGATTGTTTCGCGGCTCTGAGGCCAGAAGGAGGCTTCACCGCGGAAGATTAAAGGGAATCTAAAATACATGAATGAACTCGTTTATTTTCTAGAGCCGGGTGTATCCGGGATGTTTCTCCGGTTGGCTCGGCTATCGCGACTCTGGACCCAGGGTAGAGAACTTCCTTTTGTGTCTACTCGCGAGATAAGGTCCTCCATCTCGTTCTCCAGCTCCATCAGGAACTATTACCTCATGCTTATTCCACCTTCGTGTTCCCAGCTTTCATTCTACCTCATACAAACCTACTCCCTAGATGCGATCATCTTCCACTCGATTATATTTTTTCTTTCCTTTTTTAGAAGATAAAAAGATGAAATGCAACGTGTTTTTGAATAGTTCAATGCGTAACTAGATCATTGTTTCAATTCTCTTTTCTCGAGATAAATTATGGAGTAGTTTTATTGTTGTTTAATATATAGTAGTTCCTAATTATGGTTACTATTTTTAGATGACATATCTAGGGTAATCTACATCTTTTTGGTCTCGAAGATTTAACTGTTTAATAAGCAGAACTATTGTTATCTCCAACCACCATAATAAGCTACGCCAAAGAAAAACTTCACTCACCCCTGTTTGAAAAATTCTGTGTGTCAAATAAAGAAATAAAATTCGCCATTTATGCAGGCATTTCGTTTTTAACCTCTTCGGGGATGATTAGCCTCTTAAAAACAGGGTTAAAATATTTTGTACCGCAATATTTCCACTGGAATAAAATATAAGTGTTACCTTATGACGGTATTTCTGTTTTTTCTTTTAGGAGATTATGTATATTTTCCTATGTTTTCTATCACTAATATTGGAACTTAAAAAAAAAATAAAGGTACACATACTCTCTCTCTCTCTCTCTCAAAATACTGAAAATTATTATCTTTAACAACTGGAACGAACTACTTCAAGGAAACATTTCACCATTCATTCTGTCACAAATATTGGAATTTAAAAAAGAAAATAAACGCACACATATGTATCAATTTCCACAGCCCCCCCTCTCTCTTTCTCTGGAGTTCGCGTGCGTCCCGATGCTGCGTGGTTCGTTCGACTCGAAATTATCAGGAATTAAATGCCATTAAATTTACGATTGCGCGCCGACAATTACCCGCGCCTGAAGAGACGCACGCCGGTTACCCTCTGGTAGCGGTAATAACAGGGGAGGCATGAAATTGTGGTTTCATCCGATATCCCCTTTCTCGATGGGGGCATCGTTTCAGAATTTATTGGCCGCATTGATCACGATACACACCCTTATCAATAAACGCCCCATGTGCTGGATACTTCAACTTACTATGGACTCTTTCCTTCGTAGGAAGATCGTTCTAACATCATTAGTTCTAAAGTGTTATGTTTTGTGTATTTTAAAAGCTGTGTGAAATTTTCTTCAATACTATAAACGAGAATTTTCAAAAATAAATCACACTTTTTCTTTAGAAATTGTAAAGAATGTTAATTTCTCAAATTTCCAATATCTAAATTTACCCTTTCTCTTAAAACTGGCAAATAACTCTAATTCGTTAATTTTCAGTCTCAAAAACAAAACAAAAAAATGAAAAATATACTTGAAATTTATCTTCGATTATCTTTCAGGCGCCACTTAATAATACCAATGCTTCAGCCAACGAATAACCGTTTCCCTCATGAACAAGAAATTACTATTACCATCTCTAATACGAGAATTCTCGAGCACTGTTCATATGTAAGAGAAACTTGGCCGTGAATAAGATTTACGGAGTCGTGTAAACGCACGGCGCCAATCGCATATGCATGGTTCGTTTCCATAATTTAGAGGCGCAAACTGCACGGTGCCTGTATTATGCGATTTTAGACGGAGAAACGTGTGGATAATGGATAGATAGACGCGACTTTAACGCACGAATCATCGTGGCCGAGTAATTGAAGAGCCGCGAACGCAATCGTGGATCCAACCTTAACCATACTCTCGCGATATGTAGATGAATTCGTGATTTAGGTACCTTGTATTTGCCTCTTCTGACGTTCATGCGGATCTTTCAAATTTATTAGTACAGTGTATCCAGCTATAATTTATGGAATTTCTTTAGAAAATTTTTAGCTTTGCGGATTAATTATTTCTTGTTTTCTGTTTGATAAAATTGTTAAAATTTGGAATATTCGGATATTCGAAATTTACGAAATATACGGCACACCTCGAAATATAAACACTTCAAATTATTCGAGTTATCCGAATAAAGAATTCGTGTTCGAAATTACCGAAATTATTGGAATAGTTCGACTATTCGAAGTTTTACAGCCCTACCATCCAGGAATTTCTTTTCCAGCGAAAAACCGTAAATATCTTCGGTACTTACGTTAATAGAGCTGTATAATTCCTCCAGTGTTCCTCGAACTATGCAATTACCTCGGTTTTGTCTTGCGACTTACTGCAGGGAGAATCATTGCGAAATTGAGCGGCGGCGGCGGAACAAGATGACCGCCTATATCACCGAATTGTCCGACATGGTGCCGACATGTTCAGCCCTGGCAAGGAAACCGGACAAATTGACCATACTCAGGATGGCGGTCGCCCATATGAGGAACCTCAGAGGTGAGTCCCTTTTTAATCTTCTATTCTAATAAATTCTTGAAACTGCTTTGCATTTTTTTTTTTACAAAGTTTTACGTTGCTTTGAAATTTGTAAAATATTTTATAAATTTCTAAAACTCTGAATCAATAAATTTAGAATTTTTTTAACCGATTTAGTGATAAGATTGACATTAAATTCGTCTAGAATTTTTAAAAATTGTCACTTGGATTAATTTTTCAAATTGAGACAAATAATGTCGATATCACGATACAAAAGAAACTTTATAGGTGTTGAAAAATAAAAGGTAATTTTTTGTATAGTGAAAGTAAAGTTGAAGTCGGCCGATATTTTCAAGCTCCTTACATCGATAGTCGCGTAGAAATCGTATAAGCGTAATTCAATCGGTCTTGAGTCAAAGCTTAAAGATCGCGTTGCCAAAGTTATGTTGCTGCTCGTGCCGGATAACTAAAACATCGACGGTGCTTAATCGTCACGTCCCGCATTGAACTACTTTCTGCGTTATCGGACAGCCAGTGACTCGTTTGCGAATATGTATATTTTCACGTTGCAACAATTCTTCTCCGACTACTTTATTTATGTGATTCTTTATTCTCCAACCATGATTTATAGTATTATACTAATAATTTCTATTTACCAGCCTTGTTACACAATAATCTACAATCCTCAAATCTCTTACGGTAAATATTCATAATATCAATGAATGTAAATTGAACAAATGAGATATTAATGAATGAAAATTTATTTCATCTAATTCTCCGATCACGATTTACAGTATTACAATTTTTATTTATCAATTTTACCGTGTTACGTTATAATTAAATTTCACAAATCTCCGTGAAGAAGACTTCAAAAATTACAGTAAAAAGACACAACGAGAACTCATTTACCCTATCAACTTCCTCTTCCACAAAAAAAAAAACTCCAGAAAATAACTAAAAACACTCTCGTTCAAAGTTCGAGCAACATAACTAGTATCTATCATATGCGGAAAACTTCAAAAGCAAATAACGTAAACACTCTTGAGTACCTGTCCCTACATAAGGGTTGATTTGTAAAAAAGAAGAAACCTCCTAAACGTCTCCTAACATATTCATTAAAATCGATAATTCAAAGTTTTAGCCCTCTGCTTGTTATCAAAGTAAGCAGGGGATGTCTCAAGAGGCGAAGTCACATAGCTAGTCCTCCAAATTGCTCGTCAGAATGGTGTCTCTTTTTCTCCGCGGAGAATTCATCCGTCCGGTGGTGTGTGCACCGGAACGGTCGTAATTCACCGAAGGTTTCGTCGTTGCTTCGGTCATATCGAATGCAGAAAGCGCGATATATGCTTCCGGTGCAAGAATGGGTGGAGTTGCCCCGTCGGCTGTCCCTTTAGCCCCGGCTGCGTGCACACACGCGCCTCTATACGACCTCTCCTCGCCTAACTTCTCCCTTCCTTCACCTCTCTTCTCTTCGTTCATCATGCTTCTGAATCGGTGTGCGTGCCGTGATTCCAGCCTAAGTATTGGTGGTGCGTCGCATTGTTTATAGCCACTTCTCCTCTTTCCCGACAACAGGGCCGCTGAATACAAATTGCTTGAAGAACCAGCAGCAACAGAGAGAGCCTTTATCTTTTTCCTTCTCTGTCTCTATCTTTCTTGGTTAAAAGGTGTTTCTTCTGAAGATTCGTTCTATACCCTATTGTCTGCGTCTCTCTCTCTTTCACACTGTTTTACCTCGGTATCTCTTCTCTTGTCCTTTTACTTGGTTTGTTGGCAAAAGAGAGAGAAAGAGAGGTGATACGCGCGCGTACACGCACCCACCCTCAGGCGATGATGCGTCCTGGTACCCGTGGGACGCGGCAGAGACACTTTTCCTGCCAGTTTTCTTCCTTTCTTTTTTTTCCCCTCATTCTTTTATTTTTATTCTTTGGTTTTCTTTTTCAAGGGGGTTTGAGTGATGGGTTTGGATGTGCTTTGGTGTGGTCTGAGTGAAGCCGAAGCTAGGAGAACCTTTAAGGAGAGTCTCTTCCACTATGAGTTTTCTTCTTCCTTAGTTCTTTTTCTGATTCTGGTCCTTTGTTTTTTGAGAGATTTGATGTGAAGGTTTCAGATGTGTTTTTTTAGTGTAGTGTGAGTGGTGTCGAAGATTAGACTCTAAGGAGACCCCCTTTTATTCAAAATTATCTTCCCTCTTTTTTTGAATTTTATTCTTTGATTTTTTGCGAGATTTTTAATGATAGGTTTTTGGATAGAGTTGGAGTTTGAGTAATATTCGGGTATATACAGAGTTAAGAGCAAGAGGGTAGTCATATTAAATCTGCTATTCTTACTCTAAACTCTTTTTGTGTTGCAGTAATGACACATTGATGATACCAAAATAGATGATGGGAAGTGGACACTTTTGCAAGTAATTATAAAGGGAGATAATAAGGGGTGTATTGGTTCTTATTGGCTAGACAGGTTTATTTCATTGAATTGTTAGATCGTATCGACTTCCGGCGTCCCTGATTGTCTCATACAGTACGAGAATTAAATTTCAATCAAAAGTTGAAGATCTCATCAAAAGAACGCAGCGGAACATTGAATTACAAGAAAATAATTCTTCTGAATTTTATTTTCTACATTACTTAAGTACTCAATTCATCCGTTTAACCACAATTCTACCTCCAGTAATCATCATACTATCTTATGTCTCACCAATTACTAAATCATTCCCTTAAATATCAAAATCTACAGCAATAACGAGGATACCAAACACCATAAACAGACATTCACTGTAAGTACATCTTCCAATTCATCTTATACGATCCCATTCATTCATAGTTGCACAATTCATTGAACTACAACTGTAAGCCCTCCAGTAACCATAACTTCACATTCCAACCTGCTTCATACCTCAAGGCATTCGTTTGAAAAGCCAAAATTCCTAACATAAAATTCACAACAGTACTTTTAAAAAAGTAAACGACTACCAAAAATTAGACCACGCATTGATCATAACTTCTGAAGCACTTTACATTCTGCCCATCATTAAATCATCCGCCTGTGATAAATCTATCAAAACTAATACAAAAACACACATCAATTCAACAATTTCCAGCAACAAACCCAATATACATCTGGATCAAAATTACAATTCCTCCTCATTCGTCATAGATCTGAGTTGATTTACATTCACAAGAAAACATATCTAAAAAATCATTTGTTTAAATATACCTATTTCAAAATTTTGTAAATATTCTAAAATTCTTTACGTGATTGAGACGTCCATTCAAAAACAAGCAATTAAGAAAGAAAGTGTTTTCCCTAGACCCTCTAAATCTCGAGATTTCCCAGAAAATAGGTCTTCAACCCTCAACTTCGAGGACATTTTTCTACCCCTTCAATACGGACGATTGTCGATAAAAAAAATATACGCGTCAAATATTTTCTCGTGATCCCCCCGTTTAAGTTTTGTAAAAATCGACGTATGTGGTTCGATATGTGTCCCTTGTCGAACCAAAAGAAACGTTACCTTTGCTAAACGAACAAATCGAGATCAAACATCTGTTTTCTCGAGGTAAGAGATAGTCGAATGGAATCCATAGCCCCGTGTCTTCTTTTCGAAGGTGGAAACCAGCATTAATGTCCATCGAAGACTGTGTTCCTCTACGTGGAAGGTAATGGTAACGAAGGTCACCCGGGGTCTTCCATAGATCTTGTTTGGAAGTCGTTAAAGTACCTCTTCCCGGAATTTCTCCACATATCGGGGTAAAGATCGCATCGCGAACCCTCTCTCTCTCTCTCTCTCTCTTTCTCTCTCTTTCTTTCTTTCTCCGTCTTAGCCGCCTTGCTCGCGGGATCCTGTCCGCTTTGCAATTCCGATCTTGCACCTCGATAGTTACCTACGCTGCCGAGCTGCCCCGTCCTCATTTTTGGTACCATGCCTCCTTCCTTCTTTCTCTCTTTCTCGTCTGCTCGCTTTAGATTCGTGTTTATCGTCGAATTTCTCAATTTTTCCGGATTTTTACGTTTTTCCCCCTTTCTTGTCTTTCTCCTCTGCTCACTTTAAATTCGTTTTCATCGTCAAATTTCTCAATTTCTTTGTTTTCTCTTTTTTTGTCCTCTGTTCGATGTAAGTTCCTGTTGTAAATGTTGTTAATTAGTTGGTTTCGATGGATTATTGAATTTATTAGAAATACATCATTTTTCTACTTATAACAGACATAGTAGGGAAGTTTCTTTTTCGAATACCCGAAATGAAATCACTTCGAAAAAAGGGTGTACGATCTACACGTAGAAAAGTAGTTGCACGTATCCACGGACAAGCATTCGTTTCGCTTGAAAAGTGTTCCTCGTTACACGTGCACTCGATGTCGAGCGACCAGGGAGATCGCTCGATCGATACGGACCATTTACATCAAACGCGATATAAAACTCCAGACCGTATGATAGAAAATGAGAACTCGTTCGTTAAGAGGGGAAGCAATTCTCTTTGTTCGAGAATCCAATTGTATCATTAAAATCAGATCAATCTTTTAAAGAAACATTATTTTTAATTAAAAAGAAAAGAAATGCAATTTTGTACTTAAAATTGTATTGGAAAGCAGGTATAAGTGTCTCAATGTTAAAATGCAATTCTTTATTTAAAATCAACACTCTTCTTTCTTTAAGTAAATAAATAGAAAATAACCTTCCTCTAATGAATAATAAAAAAATTCCTCTGCAAACTAAAACCTAACTTAAAATATTCTAAAAATACGAACCCAAAAATATTTCAATAATAAATACAATTATCTGGCATTAATTGTCCATGAATATTTAAAAAGGGATACAATTACTGGTACATTCGAATATTTCTTTTAATTCTTAATCATTTGCATTCTCAGTATTTTTTTTTATACAATCGACCAACAATTTGAGCATACTTTTGCAGTGAAACTTTTTCAATTTAAAAGTTAAAAATTGTTTACGAATTTATTTTTATTTATTTTGTTAATTTTCTTTATTTTAATAAAATGAATAAAAGGCAGTTTACATTTTATTGAGTTATCATGCAAATTACACATGACGTCGTAACGGCGCCACTGGAATTATGGTGTATATGTAGTATGAATATCGCCGTGCGGCGCTACTGGAGTGCGAAGGGTTAAAAATGCAAATTATCTGATCGTTCGTAAAAAGAGAGATGTAAATTGTTTGTTACAGGAACAGGAAACACCAGCTCGGACGGTGCATACAAGCCCTCGTTCCTCACCGATCAAGAGCTGAAGCATTTGATCCTGGAAGCGGCTGATGGTTTCCTGTTCGTCGTCAGCTGCAATACCGGAAGAATCATCTACGTGTCCGATTCTGTGGCGCCTGTTTTGAACTTCACGCAGAACGACTGGTACGGAACCAGCCTCTACTCACAGGTCCATCCGGATGACACTGAGAAAGTGAGAGAACAATTGAGTGGTGCTGAACCAGAGAACGGTGGCAGGGTGCTGGATCTGAAAACGGGGACCGTGAAGAAAGAGGGACAGTGTAAGTAGATATTATTCCTTTTAGGTTAATCAGGCATTCTTAGGAGTTTCACTTCAAACTCAAAACTCCCTTTTCAAGGATCCTGAAATTCTTTTGAACTCTAGTGTTATTAAAGTTAAATTTCAGAGGTTATAGACTTTTATCTTTTTATTATCAAAATTTAAATATCTTCGGTAATAAAGGTAACTACACAAATTTTAGAAGCAACTTTAGATTCCACTATCTTGAACTTTATTCAATTTCATGAAATTATACAATCACAGAAAGCTACAATAATTAAACTAATATATCTACAGTATATCCAACCTCTTTTATAACATAAAACATTCAAAATTCTATGTAATTAACCTAACACGTAACTTCACAGCATCGATGAGATTATGCATGGGCTCTAGAAGAGGCTTCATTTGTCGCATGAAGGTGGGTAATCTTCAGACATCCGGCGACATGGCTGCCGCTCATGGTCTCCACCACGTGAAACAGAGGAACTCACTCGGTCCTCCAGGTCGCGACGGCCAGAATTACGCTGTGGTTCATTGTACAGGATACATCAAGAGCTGGCCCCCAAACGGTGAGTTTGCTAGAGGTTTCAATGATCGTTCACATCGTTCGTTGTCTAGCAATAATAGAGGTTACGTCGATCCTTCTCGTCGTCAACGACGACAAATATAACGGGGCCAGACTGCCGCGCATGCGCGCGCGCGCGAGACGTAGCGCCAACTTTCTATTTTAAAGCGAGGGAGACGTCGGCGTGCCTGAGGAATATGAACGAAGCCGGCGGCTTCGTAGAATACACGAGGATAGCGACGTTTGTACTATAAATTAAGGGGCCGCGGTAGCTCGGTGGCGAACACGGATAGTATGATCGGTTTTATAAAGAATGAATGGAATCGTCTTGACCTAACAGCCGACAGACTGGCTGGAATACCGATAAACTATGTCGGGACAGGTCCGATGCGGAATTCGTACGTCTTATCGCGGCCAACGATGCATAATAACGGGCTTTCTGAGTGATTTTCGCACATTTCCGCCTTTGCCGCTTGTCCTGTAGAATTTTATTGAGTCTCAATGGTCAACGTTTATTTCAGAATTGTATAGTCATTATAGAATATTTTTGTGAAAAGAAAACAAGGAATCCTACATATTTCCCCTTAATTTATATAAAGGTAGCTATTGTGTGTAATTGTGTATTGTTTGCTAGAAATGTGATGATTTCAAGCTGGACAGAAAACATGTAAGATTTCTAAGGGAAAAAAGTCATGTGCTAAGAATTAATTCTGTCCAGCTGAAATATTGTGCTTGTTGTCAGATCTAGTAGCATGTAAATCATGATCAGAAATCGATTATGAGGAACCATAATGGACTGACTTATCATTTTGCACTGTAGGTGATTTTGTTCCCCCGTGTGTACCAGGTGTGGGTATAGCTGACAGGGAGGCAGCTGGTGTTGAAGTAGGACCTGATGGAGTGGTCTCAGATGGAAATGTCAGCACTCATTGCTGCCTGGTTGCCATTGGGCGATTACAGGTCACTAGCACACCAAATAGTAGCGATTTAGCAGGTTCCAATAGCAATAATGGTAAGTACATTCAATAACCTTAATAAACTATAACTATGATGAAATTATATATTAATTCTTTTCCCTTAACGTTTCAGAATTTATTTCACGTCATTCTGCAGAAGGTAAATTTACCTTTGTGGACCAAAGAGTCGGTGGAATTCTAGGGTACACACCTTCAGAGCTCTTAGGTCACCCGTGCTACGAATTCTTTCACCCGGAAGATTTGACGCATATGAGAGAAAGTTTCGAGCAAGGTGAAGCTTTTCAAAACTGTGCCAGAGGCAATCGTATATAGTACACGTGTTTCTTATTGTTGACGAATCCCTGTCTTTGCAGTGCTGAAGCTTAAAGGACAAGCGCTCTCTGTGATGTACAGATTTCGAGCCAAAAATCGCGACTGGGTGTGGTTAAGGACGTCCGCATTTGCATTTTTAAACCCGTACAATAACGACGTTGAATACATCGTCTGCACAAACACACACGCCAAGTACGACTCGTTATGCCGGGCCCTGAACAGTTTATCCCATTTATTTTGCTTCGTCCAGATGTGCTTTTAAATCTTAACACGTTCACAATAGCTTTTGTAGTCTTAAAAAAGAGTGATAAGCTCATCACAATGAATAATGTATTTTTCTTTTTATTTGTGTTCGTTTATAATAGCTGTGAAAAAAATTTCAGATATATTTAAAGAGTTTAGAAAAAGATTTTTCTATAATTTGTTTAAATTTATTTAAATTTGTTATAATATTTAAGGTCATTCCCTCCTGGCAGCGATAGTCAGACGGAAAGCGAAGCTGTACCTGCTTACGGACAACCTGGCTTAGATTATTCCCTTCAGAGACACCCTACCAGGGATCCTCTGTACTCTGGACATCATATGATGCAGCACCCGGCGACTGTCGCTGCAGCTGGTAAACTATTAATTGCGTCAAGTTGAATATTCACTATACTAAATGTTATTTTTATTACATTCAAGGTTTAGAAGTATGCTGTGTTAATGTAATCATAAATTCCTTAGGTCCCCAACAACCTAGGCCGTCCAGTACACAAAATGTTTACCAAGGATATGAAACGACGCAATCTCCCATAGCTTATGGTTCACCTGGACAGCAAAGCGCGTCTTCTTCTGTCTTAAGTAGAATTCAAAAACCAGCAAACACATCACCAACCCCAGTACAACAAGCGTGGGCTATTGGAAGACAGGTACACGCATAACAGTAATTTTAATGCTTGAATCTAACCTCAAAGACTTAAAAAAAAAGGAAGTTACAATATTGTTCTGTTTTAGCAACCTGTAACAGAAGGATACCAATATAATCAATTGAGTCCTTCGAGGTCACCAAATGGACCCACTTATACTCAATTAAGTAGCGGCGCTAGGACGCCAGCTACGCAATACCATGCGGTCACAACAGTACCTAATAACCCCGGTAAGCCTAATTTTAACATACAGGTTATATTTTATTTAATTAAAACCGAGCAGGAAAGCTCATAATTGAGTTTCCTCAGGAATGTGGGGATGGCAGAGTCAGCAGCATCAAGCACCCCAGCAAGATGGAGGACAATCAAACCCCCAGGTAGCCGGACAAGCACAGCCGCCTCATCCCACTCAAGGTGGTCCTGGCACGCAACCTCAGGAGTTGTCAGACATGTTACAGATGTTGCAAGATCAGGGCGGAGCGTCCGGTTTCGAGGAGTTAAATATGTTCAACACTAATTTCGAGTAGCGACAAGGAAATAGCATGACCGAGAAACGACTACCTTAAGAAAGCTTTAAGGTTTGAATACATTGGTGTAGAGTCCCGGGATTGTTCCGAGCATCGTAAATCGCACTTTTACTTCAGCATTTAATTACGATATACGAGAGTTCGCAGTCAGCACCTCACGCGTAAACAAAGAAAAAAAACTTTATCCGAATCGACTAACTAATCGATAGGTTAACCTGACCTTCATCCGGCATGTTGTTAGCTGAACATATTTCGTTTTGCGAGAAGTTTCTGTTTTATCGGTTCACGGCACGATCGTCAGAATCGTGCGAGAGTTTTTACGACGAAATTTGTCCGAAATTCGCGAGTATCGTTGTGTGAAAGTGCCATTAAACTTCATGATATTTGGAAAAAGGCAAACATGGAAAAGTATGGGAACTTATAATACGCACAGATGGTTCAATTGTCGAGGCTTTAGGTAGCTTTTCACCGAGATGCGAGTTTTGGGATTGGACATAACGAATGACGCAGGAGGGATCATTCGGGGGGGTATAGTTTGTATTTTTTAAGCATGTTTTGTTTGCTTCTTGCGACTCGAATATGATTTACATCGTGTTTTAATGAATGATTATGAAATAATTTTTATTATTTCCTTCCATTGGTCTGATTTTAAGATATGTAAGGAAAGCAGTTTTAACGAAGACATTGTAAATTAAACAAACAAAATGAATTTTGAACTTTCCTCGCTGTTTAAAAAATTTAAAAAAAAAACGCAATTGTAGTGACGTAAGATATATTTAAATTGTACATGGAGTTCCAGGAATGGTAAGATAACAAATAGAGAAGCCTAGAGTTTCATTGAGCTGTTGTTAAATGGATGTAAGTATATGTATAAAATTTTTGGATAAAGAAAACAAAAATGCGTGTAAGATTTGTAATTGTTCAAGAAAAGCGACGCTTCATTAAGATTTTGAACGGACATGTATCGTGACTGCATGTATTTTGTACGATTATTATCACTTTACATTTTTATAGGATTTTAACGCCTCATCTGTGCTTATTAATAAGTAATAGAGTGTAATTTTTTCCTCTTTTGTCATAGTAGCTATTTTTATTTTCAAAAGAAGAAGCTAGCGCACTTCGACGAACGTTCAAAGAGGTGCATTCTAAACGATAAGGGAAAGAAACAAATAAAGTATTTTTAAAAACTTCTCAATCAAACCTACACAAATCACGGTAATTTTAATACCAGCTTATCGTTAGATTTCTAAGGTTAGCTTAATTATTTTAATTTAGATCTTTGTAATTATAAATAGTGCAATCGTCAAGGTCGACGCTGAACGGGGAAAATGAAAAATTGTTTGAACTCGACAACAACAATGATGTACAAAAAAAAAAAACTTATATGTAATCCACTTTGCTTCTCTGTGCAAACAACCAAGAAAAAAATACAAAACACTACCATTTTTAGATATTTCTAAAGAAAATATAGATAATGTTACACATACGGAAACATAATTGCATTTATAAGTAACCACGTGTGATTTAGTGCATTGTAGATGTACATGTCTAGCAAATTCTTATTAAGTAGATTGAAGGAAAAAAATTGCAGCATATCATGATGAATTGGGAACATTTGTCACTAATATATATAAAAGTTTACATTACACGTATAATTCTTTTTAATCATCCTATGTCGAAAGTAGCTACGATACTGACAATAATTAACATATTGAAGTCGACGAAGGCATCAATATGTATAACACAAATAATTGATTAAACTTCGAAACATATCTATGAAGCATTTTATGATCCTTTGTCCTCTATTGTTTTGAATTATTTTCCCACCTTCTTTTACACAAAATAAAAAAATATTCATTTATATGCTTGTTCAAAATTCATACTGCAATGCAATTACTTAAATAAGAAAAGTGCGGCTATGAGGCAAGAATAATTCATCCAATGTGTTTGCTACGTTGAATAAACGTAAAAATTGTACGATTTACGGAATAATTAGTAATATAAAATCCACGTTTGTGTTGCAAAGTTGGAACACTCATTGAACCCTTTGTACTCTATTCTTTTGCTTGGATAATTCTTCCGTTTACATTAAGACTTCGTGATAAAGGAAGAATCGAATTAAGGTTAGGTTGCAGAAAATCAAATGCGAACTATACAACGTAATAATTTGTATTTAAATAACTTTGTACAAAAATTATAATTTTAATTTCACCGCAGAAAGAGTATTCTTTTCTTTCTTTTTCTTATTTGCACCAATCTTTGTTTTAATGTGACTTTTCACCTCTTCTTGCAATTGATTAAAGAAGGCGGTAGACGATTTCGGAGCTTTGACACCTGTCTCGTCCATTTGTATGATGTTTCGATTGTTGCTCAGTTTTTTCGCCAATTGTGCCGCCTTTTCTTTCTTGTATTTCTTGGCAACTCCTGGTTTTAGTGCTATCAATTTTTCTTTTTCTTCTATGGCTTGTTGTCGCGCGCGTTGTTTTATCTTCTTACGTCTTCGTTGTCGTTTCATATCCGTCTTCGTTCTTTCCGCTTTACCAATCAGATCACCTCGCGGTTTTGCTACAAAAAAACAAATAATAAAATTAAATATCGCACATATAGGAAGTTATAATTACGCGTGGTACCTTTAATTTCTTCTGGCGCTAATAAGGTAGCATCGCTCATTCCCACCGGAGCTACTTCCTCCATGTTAATCGCAGGAATATTGGTAACAATTTTCATTTCTGGCTTGGCCTAAGAAAAAGTGTAAGAAATTAATGATTAATATAGCACCAGATAACAGCATGCAAACAAATTTTTTGTTTTATAATTAACTTACCATTTTTGGAGTGTAGTGATAGTTAGATAAAGCATTCAACTTGGAGAACACAGAATGCATCATCTGTCTGATTTGAATGTGTAATGGTGGTTCCTCTTCCTCCTTTTCATTGTCATCTGGATTTAATGATTGTTTCTGTTTGAGGTATTCATTTTCATAAATTTGAGACAAACTTTCTTTACTCTTTTCTTGGTTTAAAATTAGCTTCTTCTTATATTCTAATGGAGTCTCAACTGGCTTAAATTTCTTTTCAACATCATCCCAAGCTTTGTCTTTTATCCTTTGTTTAATTATATCTTCTAATTTTAATGTTGTTTGCTCAGTAATGACAGGTGGAGGTCTAGTTGTGATGTCAAACTCCACAAATTCTTCTAGCAAAGAATTACGTGGTCTACGTGTTCCAGACACTTCACCCTTGAGTTGCCAAGGTTTCTCTGCAATAGCTTCTTGTTCTAGTTGTTCAATTCTCTTTTTTAACCTCTCTTGACGGGTTTCTAGAGTAGATTTCACCTGTGTATCTTCCTTTACACTAGTATTCTTATTTTCTATACTATCTGTTTCATCAGAGTCATTTGTGAGATTGAATGTGACTTTCTTCTTAGAAGGCTGTTCCTCACTATCCACTTCCATTTCATTATCTAAGTCACCATCATCATTCAATGACTCATCATCATCTATTTCTTTACCATCTTTGTCCTTGTGATACACAGAATCATTATGATTCTCATCTTCACTTTGTGGATTGTCAAAGAAATCTGCATACTTCACCAATTTTGCTTCCTCAGTATTATCTTCACCAGAAAGGTCATTGAATAAATCTAGTGATTCATCATCAGATCCCACCTCGTTTTTTGCACTTTGTTTCTCTTTCTTGTCCTCCTTTGTCAGATATTCATCCAATTCTTCCAGTTTGAAGAATTTATCATCCACTATGGATGATTTCTTTTTATGGTTTTTGACATTCTCTTTCCTTAAACTACTTCGTAATTTTATTTCATCTTCAGAAGACTCTTCCCCTGATATCTTTAATTCTAAATCATCTTCTTCCTCTTCTTCTTGATTTTCTTCCTTTTCTTCTTCTGATGAATCTTCTTTATTGTTTTGCACAAGTTTAGGTTTGACAGCATTGATTGGTATTATTAACTTCTTACTTTCAGCTAAAGCCTTTGAAACACTATTAATCAGGTGGTCAAGTTCACCTTCATTTTGTAATTCAAGCTGCTGCCAGATCTGTTCCTCATCAAAACCTTCTGTCACAAGTTCTGGCAGAGCATTTGTGTTTCTTTTTGACTGTTCTTTCGTAAAATCATATAATCGTTTTGTACATTTTCTGAAATCTAGGGCAACGTCATTTTGCACGCTGTAAACAAAAATTGCTGTTGTTATATTAAAACAGAATAGGTTAGGAAAAGAAAATTTCAAAGAAATATTCACCTTAAAAATTGTTCCGGCTTTTTAGTATTATTATCGACCGTATGTATAACATTATTAAGTATTTCTATGTCTGCCATTGTATATTTACATTGACAATAAGATTAAAACAGAATATTACTTAACTACAGGTTATGTTTTTCCTGTAAAACCACCGTAAGCGTAATATGGTATGTACATGTACTACCATAGACGAGGTGTAGGATAGACCTTGCACCTAATATATTTTTGTGTCCAACGTTCTGAAATACCGATCCTGTACAAAATCATTGTTTCTGTTATGCCCCCTATGATATAAAGCGGTGAGTTTAGGAATTACATAGAATCCAACCATCCAAGATGGTATAGTCGACAGATACAAAAGATCCTCTTTTATTCAATTTGCGTATAAAAATACATACATATATTGGATTGCTTGGGTAGAATTGTTCACGATATTTTGACAGTAGGAGAACACGCGCATATGACGAATTATCTACTAATAAACAATTACGTTACTTTTTCATTTGTGATTTCATAAATACGTTTAATTCCAATTCCAACCACTAGTAATGTTATAATCGTATTCTATACTGAATCGGTAACGTTGGTAACGACACGAAAATGGTAAGGATCTTCTCGGCCCAAAAGTTCCATAAGATGCAAGGTTTATCCTGTACGTCATCTGTGGTGGTACTATAATGATTAAGGACATACATGTAACACCGTCAATCAGTATTTCATTTTTTACCACCCGGTATATTACCATGAGTCAATAAAGTAATTTTATGATGAAACAGATTTCTGCCAATAATCTTTATTTACAAAAAACGCACAAAATATATTTACAAAAGTAGGTAATTAATATACATTTGAACAATAAAGATTTCAAACAATATTTATTAAAAGAATTAATTTTTTTCCAAACTCAATACATTAAAAATTAATATTCTGCCAGAATTTATTATAATATCGCTGCAATAAAAAATAAACAAATTTCTATAAAATTTAAAGTATCAAAGGTTGACGAAAATTCAAGGCGCCAAAATTCTAATTTTCGTAACGACCCAATAGGTATCTAAGCTAATATAATTTTGTGCTCACAGGTGGCGACGATTGGTTAGCGGTGTTAGCGACGCAATGACGGGCCAACCGACATGGTGGGGCGTGCTGATCTGCATGGAACTTCGTCGCAAGGAAGGGTGGGCGGGAACCAAGACGAAGAACCGCTCGGAGTTCGAAGCCGCAAACGCATTGGCGCAGACCTCGCGATAGTTCGCTCGATCCTGTACCGTCAAAGTAAAGTTGAAACGCGTGCGTTTCTCAATTCGGTTATCGTGTGCGCGTGTGTTTATACATCAAGCCACGTAAGGAGACTAAGGACGAAGACTGAGTGTGCTCTTTTCGGTGGATTTTCTGTGAAAAAGTGCGTTTTAACATAGTGTTCCTAGGGATTCGCCAGGTGCTGTTGCGTTTTGGATAAGCTTCGTACACCGTCGAAAAGGTACGTACGCGAGTCTGACACCGTTCTACGAAATAATCGATCGTATTGTTTACACTATCGAACGATTTAGTCTTGATCGACATACGTTCAATTCCTGTTGGTAAACTGTAGTTTGGTACGAAATCACAATAATTTCGTATAGTCGCCGACTGCACGCTATTGAGATTAGGCTTTTGAATTTTGTTTATCGTCCTTGAGCGGACCAGTCAACAAACAGAAACTTAATGCGCACAAAGGTCGACGGGTCACGTGGGACATTTCATACAGGGGATCCAGTGATCCGTTTCGACACCAGAAAAATAGCTGCATACGAAAATTCTTGCTTATTCAAAGCTTTCTTCCATCACGATCGAAGAATTCTTTGCGAACTCGCGAGATCAAAAGGTTATCTTTCATCTTTTCGAGATTAGCGACTACTAGTGTCGCATTAATTTGAATTCTTTCTCTCTGAATATATGCCCCCCTTTATATAACCGTTTTTGGTACATTTATTAGCTTTTTGCTAGGGGCATTATGGAAGACTCTTCCTTATTCTTTTACTCTCTTTTGAATTAATTGAAGGGTTAGGGGACCTTAAATTGCTTTCTTTGGGTTGGCGTGTAGGAACTGGACGAAAAAGAAAACGAAGGGGATTGCGTTCGATACCTGGAAAGTCGTGCAAAAAAGAGAACGACAGTTTAAATCTTTTACCAACCGTCATTCTGCACAGATCAAGTCTCTCATATCCCAAGTATTTTTCTTGGTAATAGCTTTCTGATGACACGCGGTGTATGTTATTTGTGTCACAATTAGTAATTCGAAAGTAATTTTCTTTCTCGTGGAATTTAAATTTCATGTACATTGTGACATGCAGTATCTGTTCGATAGTATCGAACATTCAAGAACTATTCAAAAATGTAATTTGCCATCATTTATAATTAATTTATAATGTTAGTAATTTAGTTGTTATCAATTTTGAAATTCGATTTCTCCCCCGAGATGTCTCCACCACCACTACAGCCCACCCCCATCCCCTCCTATTGAAAGTGTCGTCACGTGTGTCTGGGTAGAGTCATTCCGTTACGAGGTCAGAATTCCTCGTGGAGGAGAACTGGTCGTTTGCAAAGGTCGCTCGACGGACAGCTGGAAAACCGCGTGCATAGAAGGGAGTACGGACCGGTGGAGATTTTCCTTTTCCCTCCGCGGCACTGAACAAGTTCTCTCTGTTCTCGAGCAGAGAACGATCATAACGGAGCGCTGGCGTCGTTGCACGTGAAATTGGAGCGGACTTCGATCCTTTCCCGAACGGTACCCGGCATTTGATCGGCCTTAGCCCCCGCGTTCCACGAGGAAATAATATTACGCGCGCGCGTTCACCGCCGCCGCTGCCTCGAGTTTCTAATGAGCCCCTCCAAGAGCCGTTCCTCTACTCGACGAATACCGTAATTCTCAATGGACGTCGTTTTTTCTCTCTTTCTCTCTTCCTCCCTCGGTACCTCCCTTTCTCAAGAGTCGTTTTTCTTACCCCTACCACCAGTGCTTTTCGCGTTCCCCTACCATCTGGCCCCTTTCGATGCGCGTCTCGCGAGCGAAAGTCGTGTGCGTGGAACTAGCGATGGGACTGACTCTTGTATAAATCGCTAGAAATGCAATGTGGTTAGAATAGCCGTAAATTTTGTTACAATTTATTATGTATTCAGTACGGGTTATTTTTGGTAATCCAAGTAGGATATATAGGTGTTTTAATCAGTCGATAAGTTTGTATTTACTATATTTAAAAGCTTTATGACCTTTTGGGATAAAATTTTTGGGACATATTGCATAATCAAATTGATAGAATGATGTCACTTTTTAGAAGGAGGCATGAAATTCATGATATAATGATAAAAGAGATTGTCGGAGTGAAAAGAAATCACTAGTTGTCCAGAATAGGTTAAGATAGGCAACATTGCCTCCAAAACACCTTATTTGCGTGACACCGGTCAATATAATTAAAGTAGATCTAAAAATATCCCGGTTCGCCGGCGCATTAATATGTAAATCTAAGCACGCGTTGCGATACAGATTGTCATCCGGTGATCTCACCTGTTGGAGAATTCTTTCGTTCAAGGTCATTGCAAGGTCACGCCACTTAAATGGTTGAATTTCATCGAACATAACCAACAAAAACATAGCGGTTTCAAATGTGTTTTCGCTGCATTCGACCATTCAACGTAAACAGTTTATACCGATCATTGTATAGGAATCACCTTGTATATATACATAACACGGAATTTGTTTACAACTGTATTGTATTAATACATTAATACCTGAATATTTCCACGAAGTATTGATAGTGTGAATTATATAATCGATTTTCAATCGATTCAACAACGTAAACTTGAAAGCATGTATAATATCAGTTCCATCGCTACTCAACGCTAGTAGGGTATACTACCAACGAAACGTACGTTTCTTATGCGTGCGCGCGCACATGCACACACACATTTTCTGGGGAGTTGCTGGACCGCTCTCAAAGCCTCCTCACTCTACCCTACCCGCTGTTTCTTCGTTCAGGCCGCGCGCAACGGACGAAGAGAGAGAGAGAGAGAGAAAGAGACAAAGAGAAAGATCCTTGGCGAGTCCTGGAACCCAAGTCGAGTGAACAAGCCAAGACTCCTCCGGTTACAGACTTCAAGGCTTAACGCGTACTCCCTCGTTCCGTCAATTGTGGATTTACGAACGGCCCACAGGGGGAAAAATTCTCGCGTGCAATGTTATTGTGCCGGGACTTGGGTATCGCCATTACAGTCAACCTGTTTCGACCTGTTCAATGATAGGTGGCATCTTAATGCTTTTCTACGTGGCTAGGAGAACTCTCTGGGAATTTAGGGTACAGGAACAACAACATGTAGGACAGTAGTGTGTCTCTCGATTCTTGTTTCAACGTAGAAGTATGAATTGTACCTTTAGATCGTTTCTGAATCTTTCTGTAAGCTGTTCGTGTAATAACGTTCACTGTATACCCGGTAATTCTCTTAACCTAACGAGTTCGAATTATTCGTATTGTTTGAAACGAAAATTAGAGTATTGTGTATGCTCGTTTCACGTTTGGTGACCATTCTATATGCTTTATTCAAGTTAACATTTGGTATACGGTTGTTTTGACTATTCGAAAAGGTGAGGGAGTCAGGGTGGGCAGATTTTGGTCGTACATCTCGGCCAACGTCTCCCATTGGCGTAATTAGTTGTAAGTCCCGCATACGTGACCGCGTCGGGCCGCGTCGACGGAATACGATATGAAGGAACGGAGTTTTATCTGGCGCGCACACGCGGTCGGACTCTTCTAGTAGACGGCCGCGGCGCGACGGTGAATGTAAAACTGCCAGAACGCATGCAGGAATGTAGATTTTTCTTGTCAACTTTCTACACGCCTCTGACGTCATCACGGGAATCATTGTCGAATGCAATATGGCACGTTTCAAAAGTGAACACATGAATTTTCGCGAGGTATGATGCTCGCTTGAAAGTTTCGAATTATATAGGGTTTCTAAAAGTTCTTGACCTTTGTAATTCTTATGTTTGTAAATAGTGAGTTACTGTAAACAGACGGTAGAATATATTGACATTTAAAGAAGTCAAGTTTCCATAATTTTAATCGTGGACAGTTTAAATTATTATTCTTGGAAATATTTCTGTTTCGACTGGAATAGTTGTGTTGAAGTGTGAATGTGAGAAATTAATAGTACTGCTATTATGTAGATAACGTAAAAATCATGGCTTTGAAGAGAAGATGGGAGGGGTTGAAAGGGAAGAGTGAACAAGCTGAATAGGCGGCTGTATCGTTTAAGATCCCGCGTAATTAATGCAGGAACGGCGATAAGATAGAGGAATAGTTTTCAATTGGCTCGGTATAGTGCGGCTATCTCTGACCTGGTAGCGTGAAATCATTATTCAGTGCCTATACACAGCCAGTAAATTCAAAAGATAACCCCAACAATGCAAAAGGAACGATGGAAAGGGACCGTTATCAAATAGTTGAATATTTATCCGATTTTTCTAACGCATTCTCGCATTCCGTTTACTATTTTCTCCTGGAATCTTATTGGATTTCGTTATCTTCCATTAAACAGGAACGTAAAAAGCGTATCATTTCGGTCAGCGACCCCGCTTGAATTTCACCACACCACGCTGATGGTGAAACGATTCATTATCATTCGATGTATCTTCTTCTATGATCAAACAAAAAAATTATACAAACCGGGTCTCTCATTTCACTTTTCACCATTCATTTCACCACACGGAGTACGTATGTATATGTATTTCATTTCTACTCTCGTCCGACGCTTCCTTCGCGGCATACTTAGTAACTCGTTCATGGCGTGGCCAAAAAAAGTCTACTTCATATTATCTTCCGGTGTAAGTGGTCTTGTTTTGAGTGTGTGAATAAGTGGCGTATAATGAATACGTTGAAAACGAAGCGTATATACATAACCTCACATCTTGTAGAATAGGAGGTCATGTTTAAACTTTTTCATTTATGGTGTCACTTTTTAGGAGCTCTTACAATTAGTAGATTTAGGTTATGTATCGATAATTTCGACTTTTTCATCGTTAAAAGAACATTGCTTTGAACTGAATAATGTTATGAACTTAATTCACGCAGCACGCATTTTTCTTGCATAGCACTGACGTAATGTTTCGCTTCGGTTTCCGCTCGAGAGGTTCCATCATGGTGCAGCATCTCGAGGATCTAACGGTCGATACCGTCGATCGCGGCTTTTCCTCGCCACGGTGCATGCGCAATGTAATTTTGCTGAAATTCAATGGCCCGTTAGAGAAGCATAGGCAGGTAGGTAGGTAGGCTTCTTCGAGATTCGTCGAGCGAATCAGAGCGACGGAGCGGAAACTGGAATCGCCGTGATTCTACTGAAGATCCTTCGGTTTCAACGTTCGACCTAGACGATCCGAAAGAATGCGTGGCGAAAAAAAACCCACCGAGGATATTCACCTTGGAATCTTATTAAATTATCATTGAACCGATTAGGCGGCCAATGCGGCAGGTAATTGGACGAGGCGGGACGAGTCATTGCAAACGGCTCGATTACACGAAAAGGATGCGGCCAGTGGTTAGTTAGTCGTGCTTTTCTGTAAATTGTCTGTCATTAAAGATGTCGAATTAATAGGGAGCAAGTAGAATAACGCAATTTTTTGCAGTTCTTGAGATGGAAGATGGTAATTGAGAGAGATGATTGTTGGTTTTGAAGAAAAAATGTCTTTGGAATTTGATTTTTATTCAGATTACTTTATTTTTTATTGTTCTATACAGTTTTTTATATTTAAACATTTTTTGATGAAGTCTTAGAAAGTAGCACTTACCTTGTATTACAATTTTGTTGAGGAAATATAAAAGATTTTGTATTATCTGTTTGTGAGTCTAAAAATAACACTTGATAAGATGATTAATGTCAAAATTGAAGTAAACATTAATAAATTTGTTTGCAGAGATTAAATTAATATATTTATAGGGGCTAATGTAACACAGTAGGTCAAAAGTGTACAAAAATATTCTATATTTATACAATTTATTTACACTTGAAAGATAACTGATAGAGAGATCACACAGCTTGTGACTGTTCACTAATGAGTGTTATTTAATAAAATCACTAGTCTTTTCTTTCTTCAAAGTCAGTAAATATTTCTTTCTAGCACGGTCATGTAAATGTCTCAATGTAACTAAATCATTGTCTAAGGTATCACTTTGTTGTTCAAAGTAGGTTATTAGTTTTTCAAGTATTTCTGTTGCTTCAAGGTGGTTCACATCTGTTGATTCTTGGTGGCATCCATTGTTAAAGGCATTCTGAATGTCATCTTCATCTTGAGTAGATAAGCACACTGTCACAATGTCATTTTCTAACAGTAAATGATCAGAACTATCATTAGCAGTAAGATCTTCTAACAAACTATCACTAGGAAGATTAAGTTTTATTCCATGACGAGCTTTCCACCTGCCTAACCATCCCACACTTGCAGTGAATGTAGGATCACCACCTACCTTTTTATTAAGGGTGAGTGCTTTCTTTCTGAGAATGGGTCCTGACACAGGAATACCATTTTCACGTTCTTTTATATACCATACATACAGTGCATCATCCAGTCTCACATTTTTTGCTTTCTTAATTGTCCCCCTATTGCCTAAGCTATCTCTAGAAACCATCTTAGCACAAAAGTCTTCAATTTCCTTCCTGTTCTTTTTCCAATCAGAGACAGTGGATGTTCCTACCCCTAAGTCAATAGCAACACTTTTCAATAGCTCACCTTTGTCGATTCGAAATAAAGCTTCCAGCTTCTTTTCCATGGTCACTGTCACTTTTTTCCTTTTCCCTGACATGCCTGTAAATGTCAAATGTAGAAAAACACAGTGTATCCTGTAACAAACATTATGAGATCCAGCAACGAGCAAGAGGTAAGCACTATTTTTAGAT